GAGCCCCTAGTAGCTTCTTGTTTCTAGTAGTAAGGCCAGGAGCCCCTTGTAGCGTTCTTGTTCCTAGTAGTAAGGCCAGAGGCGTTAGGCTCAAGCCGTCACGAGGCACGCCTGTCGCCCTTGCTTCACTGCAAGGGTGCGAATTGGGCCATGAGAGCCCATAGTGGGGCGAGCAATGGATATGTCCGTCATGTTTTTCATGCTGACTCTCGGTGGAAATCCTGCATCAAAACTGAGATGACGCCTAAACAGGTACTGCACAGACACAGCCGATTTGCCGTGGTTGAATTCATCCAGGCCGATGGTGTGGTGCGTATCCTGAAAGTGTCCCAGTCGGTTTTGGCTTGCTTGCATACTTCCAGTCCAACAACGTTGTATACTTGGAAGCTTTGTGGACGTGATCAAATGGGCGTTGTTACGCCAGCAGATGAGCAAGCCAAATTGGACCCATATTTGCTGCAAGATGAACCACAAATTTTGCCTGGTTTTTCAGACCCACTTTATCGCCCAATGACAGAATCTTTTGAACCATGGGCACAACAATATGCCCGATACGAGATGATGGCTGGGTATGGATATACCCAGGAAGATTCAGCTTTGAGCGAACCATGGTGTTGGCAGATAGTGAATCCACGACTTTCCAGCCCACATGGTGATATGGAATGCCATTGTGAACCGAATAGTCAAACACTGGCTACTTCGCGATACAGTGAGGCAGTCTCTCATGCGCAGAACAATCAGGATGTCGCCAAATCTGCAGAAGTCTTTCAACAGACTGTCCTTCCATGCACTGGCCTCAACGTCACCTGTCACCCTTTGGGAGGAACACCGGATCTTACACAGGGGGAGCAGTTTGAGGTAATAGAGCCATGGGCCTGTGTTTACATGAATAGAGATACTGAAGGAAAGATGCCTGTAGATCTCTGCGATGATCACTCCTTTGAACCATGGAGCTTACATTTCATACCGGCTGAAGTGCGTACCCCGAAGAGTGATCGAATGGAGCCGGAACCAATTCGTCAACACATAGGACATGACGAGCGCGCCAGTTTGTTCCAGATCCCCTCATGTTTTGGAACCATTTGTTCTTCTTTGCCAATGAGACCGTGTTTGGATAGTTTGAAGTTTTACCTCAACCGAGCCCATTTTGACACGTCGTCTTGCTGGAATGAAGTTTCAGGTCAGGATCCTCATATATGCCCCATGTACAAGACTTATGATTGCCACCTCGGGGGATTTCGAAATGACGGCTTAGCGCCTACCAAGCTTTCGGACCATTTTGCAATTTTGTTGGATGAGACCTATGTTGGCCAATCTTCAAGTTCTGCCCCCTCAGAATCTCAGGTCTCGGTAATTCAGAATGACCATTTTGGTCTGCAAAACCATGCTAATTGTCAAGATGCATTTCGTCAACATGACCAGGCAGGTAACACGATTACATCCATCATTCACTACTGGTGGACACAATTTCGAACAAGTTGTGCAGCCCGTTTGACAGCTGTACGAGATGTCACCATTCCTCCTTGTTTGCCATCGTCCACCACACTCCATGACAGTCGTGTTGGTCAACACGCGAAACATACCATGTCTACATCCAAACTTCTAGCTGTGTCACATGTTCCAAAGATCAGACCGACTCCACACATTGGATCCAGGCTTCCAACACAAATCTTACACATTGGCCAGACGTCGGTGTTTTGGTTTAAGGGTTACTGTCACACATATGACCACAGGTCGGAAACAAGGCTCAATGAGGCCAGACACTTGACATTGACGTCTGTGTCCCCTCGTCACGTGTCGAGCTGTGGGTGCACCTACCAGAATCCACTCTGTGACCTTTTGACCAATTCATCGCGCTCAAGCCTACCGATTTTCTTTACTGAGAATCTTAACAATGTTGATCAAGTCTCGGAAGACGCTGGTTCTATCATCAAGTCACCATCTTGTCCATATGATCTTGGGCCTACTTTTCGTGTTTTTCAACATGAACCGTTTGTTCCATGTGGTCACCTTCCTCATGTCCTACCGGCTCCACAATATCTGACCATCACCAGTGGGGCTGTACCCGTTTCAACGTCCATCGATGCTCAATTAATGGACATGCAAAACGATCCATGCTGCTTTGACACGCACACACTTTTGTTGACGTGCCCTCTCAATTTGGCTTCTACCGATTTTGGCTGTGCAAACATGTCGCCGAAGCGCGATGCATTGCAAGATGTGATCCGCTGTCATCAGAATATTGGTGATGATTACATCCTGACAGGTTTGGGAGTTGTCAAACAAGGCACATTCTATAGCCTGATTTCCAAATGTGATTCCCATTTAGCCGACCTGCCACGACCATTATTTGATCTTTCGCGATCCGCTGGATTCCGATTTGTGCCAAACACAAAGGCCTCGCTCCGACTTTTGCCGGCTTTGGGAAATTCACCATTCAGTATGACAGAGTCTTCTCACGGTGAGAACGACCTCATTGTCGCTCAATGTCCACTTCATCATTCCATCTATAGTGGGGCTGTACCCGATCACAACCACTCAGGATGTCAATATTATACACTTCAACAAGCTGGCCGATTGCAGCCTCTTCAACATGACGCAGATTCACCAGGTTGTGACTTCTACAGTGACTGCCTAACATACGACAGGTATACCATGCGAGTCGTGTTATCTTTTGCCTTCCAAGTCCATGTTGGTAACCGACGACAAAATCATGAAGTTTTGAGTTCCTCTGGATCTCGTGATCTACAACTTAGGCAGGCTTCGACCGGTCTAAGTCCAGCAATGTGGAACCTTTTGAATCATGCCCAGGACTTTATACATAATGATGATGGCATACCTAATTTTCAACGACCACTACAGACGACTACATCTCGTGGGGCTGTACCCGATTCCAACAACATTTGGACCTACAAATCCGTACAGCTTGACATGCCACATCTACGATCAGTCGAACTTAGCTCAGACAGGTTTTTACCAGCACCACTACACATTTCCACACGCAGTGGGGCTGTACCCTGTTTCAACAGCGATACAAATGTTTGCCTATATGATACAGAGCTACCTGCTACAGCTGACCAGCTACCTTTGTGTGATTTCAACCGCCTTGTGACCTACGATCTTGATCCAGTTCTACTACCACTATGCTCTGCTCTTTTTGAGCCTCATGACTCGGACCACGCTCAGTTCACAACAGAGTCATGTGTACAGTTTAGTACGCAACAACGTACACATCAAGGTCGCAATTTCAACATTTTCCCGACATATGATGACCGTCGACTACAGCAGTTTACCTTCCCGAGCGGGGCTGTACCCAAAGACAGTACCAGGATTTCAGATGGTATTATGTTGCTCTTCGATGTAGGCCACTTTCCAACATTGTTCAGGGGTGTGCATTCACCTTCAGCTGCGCAATCTCCTCGGCTCAGTGATTACGATGATGCTGATGAATTTTTGTCATATCATCAACCTTACTCCGTCAGCTGTCAATGCGATCAGTTGGTGTCGCATGCCTATTACAAGGAGCCATCTGAGCCAAGTGGAGTTGTATCCAATGACATTTTTGGTCTTTTCGAGGATATCACATTGCCTTTTGCTTTGCGCCAACCAGCTACACCTGTCACTGTCGCTCAGCCATGTGATGGAGATCAACCATCTAGGCTTGTTGATCTTGATGCAGCAGAAGCAATATTGACATACTATCAACATCGAGGTGCCACCTGCAGATACCATCAGACCCAGATGCCCCTTCAGCATGCGGGCAATGCGAGTTCGGACCCATGGTGGAGTGCTTTGAGGTCACTCGGACAGAGCCTACCAGATCTACAACATGAGACCACCACTCGTGGGGCTGTACCCGTATACCAACATCAGGATTTCATGGTAGGGCCAGGTCGTGATTTTTTCGTTGAGTGTGTCCCTACAGGCATGGCTGCTCTTGATGAGATTGAGTTACATGCCGATTTTACACTAAACAGCAGTCCTGCAACACCTGGTGATGCCTTGCTTTTCTTCGATACTCTGCCGCATGTAGGTGTTTATACTCATCAGCCACGACTTCGACAAGATGACAGTGGTATTATCCTTGGTGCCTCTGGGGACTACAAGAATA